ATAAAATGAATACAATTAAATTAATATGATGAGAAGTGGATCCATATGGTTCAGGAATTCAATCAACGATTACGGGGTACTCCATTTTCAACTGTGGACTACAGACCACACTTGCTTTTATCAAACCGATCCAGTGTTTTTCATGACCCACAGTCCAAACAAGGGCTCATTAGCTGGTCACCAAAGTCTGGTCGATGAGCCAAAGAGTTGCAATCCCAGTTTGTGGATTACAGGTCCTCCCCCATAGACAAGTCAAGGTCACCACGACCTGATGCGACCACAGCTCTATGGCACATAGGGGTATCTCTCGCACATGCATATGCTTCACCCAAAGGTGGATATCTAGCTTTCTCGAATGATATATCTATATGCATACCGTGTGATGGAACATGGATGAGGTTTTAGCACCCGTCTCTGTGGGCCTACCATCACATACAAGGGTCACACAATCCCTCAGCACATTCATCTAGGCATAAGCTTCGACCTCATCACGGGCTAACTTAAATCCCTTCTCGGATTATTTTTTATGCCCAGGTACCTTGGGTTTTCCAACCAACTGGCCTAGATCGTCAAGCACAGTCCGGTATCCTCAAATATCATTTGCTTAGTATGGTCTTCGAGGGACCACACTACCACTAAATTTATGTTCCCTTATAATAAATGTTTTTCATTACATACTCATAAGGTTTTTAAAGGCCACATAAACCCAATAGATTGTAGATTTACCTTTTCAATGGCAGTTGAAGGCTGTAACCTATTTGTCAAGTTCCTAGAATTTCAAGTTGCTGTTTAAAAATTAGTGAGTAGATATTTCATACACTTCATCAAAAGGGCTCGATGGTACTACCTCCAAGGCTCCGGTCCATTCTCTTCAAGTTTGCTGCTTTACCTCATGCTTAACTGCACACTTTGAGGACAAAAAGTTACACAAGGCCTATGCTTTATGAGTACAATTAAATTTATTTATCTGTCAAATCCATTGGAAAATGTAGTTTTTATGGTGAGAAACTTTAAAATCAATCATTTCAACTTTTATAGATAAATAACTAAAGTAAAAAGTTTATGTAAGGTTGCAATTTTATAATGTAGAGCTACGGATGCACCTCAAAAATCCATCGAAAAAGGTAGTTTTAATATTGAAAAACCTTTTGATTGATCATCTCGACATTGAGATGTATAACCATGAAAAATAAAAAGATTTTAAGTCTTAGAAATAATGCATTTTACAACATATTATCTACACCGTCCATTTTCAAGATTTTCATATGTTTATAGATCTACTTGATTTTAACTATTTTTTAAATTAAAAATTTTATAATTAGATATAAAAATAGGTTTTGAGATAATTCTAAGAACATTTACATCAAAATTATACACCAAAATAAAATTTGAAAGCACACTTTACCTCTACAGCGATGCATCTGTATGCCAACTGCACCCATAATTAAATGGATTCACGTCTTATAGTTTATTTTGTTACACATCATCATGATTGTCTATTTTCATGCGTTTAGAGTTCCATTAGGTCAGTATTATTTTTTGAGCTGTGAATTTCATATTCAAGAAGAGAAGCAAACTTCTATTCCATCACATGGATTTGAGAATTTAGAACTGCATTTCTGGATGAATTTTGAGGTGCCACTTAACCTTTTAACCTAAACCCTAAACCTTATAAAAATCACACTTGTCCAAGGAAAAAGCTCATATCAGGCACTAAAACCAAGGTTTAAAAAAACGGACAAGTGACTAAGATTGTCACCCAAAAAATCATATCGGATCGGTGGATCGACATTTTGGATTGAAAAATAGGCCGGATCAGCCGGTCTCAGCTTCAAAAAATTTCAAAAAATCACTGTAATTTCTCAAAAATTTAGTTTTAAGTTTCTAAAAGAAATAGTGACAAATATATTATGGTTTTTTATTGTAGCGTAAAATATATGTGAATCCTAATAACCTTTCTCAAGTTGAGCATTTGTTGTCTATTAATAGTCAAAAAAATCTAAAATGCGACGTGACAATAAAATGAATATCTCTAATTTAATTTTTTTTTATTTAATTTAGAAGTTTTAATTTTTGAAAAAAACTATATAGAACAAATTTAGTGGAAGTAGTTGTTTATAGAAAGAAATAAAAAGATAGAAATAATTTTATTGGAATGGATTTTTTGGTCAGAGGGAGATGCCAAGGGGGGAGGGAGAGAAAGAGAGATGTTGTCAATAGTGGAGGTTGTTAGTAGAGAGAGAGATACCAAGGTGGTGAATAAATGGGACTAATTTGTCCCGCATCGAAGATTGAATGAAGCAAAACTATGTATAGAAGCCTCACACAATTTGCGTGGGTTGCTGAATGCAAGCAAAAGCAATACACACATCAGTACGTGGCATATGATTGGTTGGTGGGGTGCACATAACGATAATGTTTTTATTAAATTTTTTTTCAAAAGTACACTTACAGAATAAAAAATAAAAAATACACTTACCCAGGTTTCTTCATTTAAATCGGTCCGAACCAAAATCAATTTTGGCCAACAAAATTGGCTAGTTTCAAATATTTGGCCGATTCATGGAGGTACCCAGTTAATTCCAAATATATGACGGGAATCAAACCGGCTTCAATGATTCTTGATCCGGATCAGGCGATTTCCAATCGGATTGGTAATTTTTTAAACAATGACTAAAAGTAAAGCTACACGCCAAAATTCATCAAAAAATATATTTCTAATAATGAAAAACGTTAAGATTGTTCATCCGAATCTAAAAAGCTGTAAATATGGGAAAATAAATAAATTTCAAGCCTTCAAAATAATATATCTTATAACAAATTAACACAAACATCTATTTTAAGTATGGGATTGTATACAATGAGGCCATTTACTTATTATACAAAGAGGTCACAATTGCTTATAACCATCCGATGTGAAATTTGATAGTTTTAGTGTGTCAAAAAGTTTGAAAAAATTTATTTTGCACTTTGTGTTTAGTCAATAGAATAAATCCAACTACCCAATTTCACATCTAATGATCAAGATTAATTATGACCACCTTGTACATGTGGTAAATGATGTGATTGTATAGTTTTCCTTAAAGTATTTGCATATCAACCATACCGGTAATATCTTTGAACTTTAAACCATATATTAGAACTAAGAAAGTTTGCATAATGGGTCAACCTTCTACTGTAAAAGGAATAGCACTTAAAAAATTCACCTAAAAAGGACAGTTTCAATGTCATCAACTATATCGGTAATATCTTTGAACTTTAAACCATATATTAGAACTAAAAAAGTTTGCATAATGGGTCAACCTTCTACTGTAAAAGGAATAACACTTAAAAAATCCACCTAAAAAGGACAGTTTCAATGTCGAAAAACCCAACAATTGATCATCTTTACCTCTAGAATAATACATCTTATATAACACATTATCTAGAGAGGCCATTTTCAAAGTATTCAAGTGTCTGTAGATCCACTTGATCTACAAGAGCTCTAAATTTCATGATTAAGGGTGAAAATATATTTTAAGGTTATCATAAGGGTTTTTGGTAACAGATCTACATATTTTGACTAGATTTAGAGTGCACATTATTTTGATGCAAGGTTTTGGAAAACAAGTTGGTTATCTGGATCTCAAATCCAGATTTTCAATCCAGGTTCAGAGGATTGGCAATTTAGATTGGCAATCTAGTCTACCGAATCAATGATTTAAAAAAATTTTAAATTGAAAAATAATGGGGCTGATTCAGATTGGTTCCAATTTTATCAGAGAATTAGCAAGAACCGGCTGAGTCAAAGGGAAAGCTGCCAGTTCCCGATATTTAGCAAGAACCAATTTGCCCCAATGATTTTTTATCCTAATCACGGTCCCGAATAAGCATTTATTTAAACCTTAATTTGATATTTTAATGTTCACACCTTATACAAACCACACTCGAAGAATTGCATGAATTTACGACCAACTGGGCCTCATGCCAAGATTACAGTGGTAGTTGGGCAAGGAAAGGGCATATGCTCGTGTTCACTTGTAGCCAGCTTCCAATAATTAATGGGTGTGGTTTGTATAGAGCCGAAGCTCCAAACAATCAAAGTAAAACACATCTTCATATAATGTCGAGCAATGTGGTTTCAATTATATTTGTGATAGCCTTAAAATATATTTCATCTTTAATTATAAAAGTTAAAGCTTAAAAAATAATGTAATCAAGCAGATATATGAAAACTTGAAAATTGATGGTAAAAAAATGTGTTACAATATACACTATTTCTAAAACTTAAAATCCATTTTTTTTCATATCTATACATATTGATGTAGAGATGATCAATTCAAGGATATTTATTAGGCATTAAAAGTGAAAATTTTGAGGTGGGCTCTCATTGGATTGTTTAGAGCATCGGCTCTATATAAACTTTTTTCATAATTATAAGGATCCGGTTTCTATGCGGCCAAGCCTGCATATGAAAAAATGCGGACCCAATAGTAAATCTATTTTTGAGATGGATTTTTGGACTGAATTTTTAAAGGTATATAATCTCTAAAATGGGGATCATGAAT